CACCTGAAATAAAATAATGCACTTTTCCATTTGATGTGATTATTTATTGTTGTTGTTTTCAATTCCCTTTTTTCTTTTTTCCTTTTTTTTTTTTTTTTTGTTCGGATAAATCATGTCATGTAGAAGTTTGCTTTAAATCCATTCGGTTTCCTTGTTGAGGTTCTATTCTCTGAGAATCGCAAAACCCCAAATGATAGAAAAAATATTTTTGTAAAACATTTTAATACTTTCAAGAATAATTCAAAAAATTGATTATTGATTGTCTTATGTCTAAAAATGTCGATAAATTTTCTTTCGATTTTATTTGGAATCACCAAAAAGTATCGATTTCTTATGCCGACATTTTTACTGATCTGAAAACAAGTCGGGTCACTTTTCACCGAACAGATATCTGTCATGTCTCTATGCCACATATATAAAATAATCTTGAATCATGGTTCAAACTTATCTCTTCAATCAAGCAGCACAATTTCTTGGGATTTTGTAATGAAAGATTTGCTTGAAATGAGAATATAGTTTTTTTCGTTTGTTTTTTAGCGCATGTTTTTTTGTTTATCTACGAAGTGGTGATAAAAAGCTTTCGTACTGACAAAGAAGACTTTAGCCAAAATGTCATTTTTTTCAATAGTGGAAAATAAGTCAAGCCGAAAGAGTTTAGTTTTTTCCTGTGAACATATTCTTGTAAATAGGTATCTTCACTACTTCGCATAAGAGAATACTCCAAAGAAAAAAGGCCCCAAACTTGATAAACAATATTTTACATCTAAATTTTTGTTATTATTAAGAGGAAAGTAGCTTTTGATTATTTTTTACATTTTTAATCCTTCCTAACACGTTGCAAATTTTAGTCAAAAATCTTGTTTTTTTGGGGTTTTTTTTTATTTGAGTCAGCAAAATTGCCATAAAATCTATCATGTCCGCCATTTTTGCCAATTTTGTAAATAAAAGTAAAATTCTCCGCTTAAAAATCTTGTATAATTCAGTTATACTTTTTTCAAAAGTTATTTGAGAAAAATTAGAAAATTTAGAGTTTATTTAATGTAATCAGAAACAAACATTACTTATAATTTTAGCAGAAAAAAGTTAGTTGAAAATAAGATAAGCATGTCGGTCAGTGGTGATTTGTTTTGGAGGTGTGAAATGTTGTTTACGTCAATGTATTAACAATTATGTTTAAAAAAATTATATTAAAATATTTAGTGAAATAGGATGTAAAAAAAAAAATTAAATTTTGGAAATGCAACGATGATAGTCAGTCAGAGAATTCGATACGTGCTAGCCAGAAGGAAAGCAAAGCAATTTCTTAAGGCTTTTCTCTTAAAACATGTAACCTATTATTCCTGAATCGTGCATCCATAGTTTTGGAGAAAAAATTTTTTGCTTCTTAAAATATACTTTTGAAATATTATCGTATCGCAGATTGTAATAATTTATGATCTGCAAAAATAGTTCCTTTTAATAACAGCATTTCCCAAAAAAGATGCGGATTCAAACTTGATTTTAAAATATTTAACAACTTTATCATATTATGTATTTAAAATTGAAAAAAAGAAATCAATTCTTGTAAAAATTTATTTTTAATCGGAAAAATATTTTGGCTTCAGACAATAGTGTCCTTAATATATATTATTCATAAAAGCCATTAAAAGCTTTTTTAATTAATATTTTAGTTGTATTGGGTTTTGTATTTTACAATTCAGGGCTGAATTTTTGTTACAAAAAACGATGATTTATATTCTTTAAAGTCGTCTGCTTTTAATTGATATAATCACAAAATTACACGAAGTCAAATTTTCGAGTTTCCATAAAATTAAGTAAGTGGGTAACTGATGTAAAAAAAATTACCATGACTTTCTTAAAGACAAACATTTAAGAAATAATGTCATTCATTTGGGAATAAGTTCTGAAAGTTTCACTAAAATCTGGCAATTATTTGATTTTTTCGAGGATTTCGAAATTAATGTGTTTTTCAACTGAAAAAAGGCGCTAAAAATTAATGGCAACTATTATGTGACCGCTGACGTAAAAAAAAAAACAAGATTTTTAACTAAAATTTCGAACGTACTAGAAAGGATTAAAATATATAAAAAAAATAACTAAAAATACTTTGAATTTTCCTCTTAATCATAACAAACATTTTTACAATAAAACTTTTTTTTATTAAGTCTAGGGCCTTTTGTCATCATGCTATGTTGTTTGTTCGGCGAATTATTGAAACTACCTGCTTATAAACCTTTCAGCATTTCAAAACAAACATTTATATATATTCTTTATGTTTTTGACTGCCCAGTTACTGTGTCATCGTCCATATTTTCTCTTCTTTCCTCGAACCACATGTTCTATTCAAAAAATAATTCCTACACAATATGTTCACCATAAACCATTTTTATAGGTCTAACGATTCACTAGCATTTTTTCAATCTTCCCACAAAACGTGATATTAATCCGCAGCTCCAGACTCCTTTCACTCATCTACCACCAAAAGTATAACATGAATACGTACTACTTCCTCTACTACCCGATAGTATAGAACTCATCTGGTCTACGTCTGAAGAAATCGGCAGTTGAAACATGTCCACACGTGCTCGGGTACAAATATTTTTTATGCTTCATTACTTATATTTGTTTTTACATTTTTGTTATGGGTGGATTGAACCATGTGATATTTCTATTTCTGTTGGATTTTTTGTGTTAGGTGGAAAAACACTGAATTTTACCGTTATTTTCTACTTTTCTTTTTGTCTTCGTCGAAGGGGTTTTCGTTTGGCAAGTCTATAACTGATAGAGAGCGGGATTTGTTTGATTATCCTGGTTTGAAGGAAGTGCGCATTCATGCTGTAAAACTTTAATTAAAATTTCCCACTAACATTTACACAAAATAAATGTGAATCCAAATTCAGAATTAAGAGTAAATTGTCAGCTACTAATACACGGCTATTTTTTCGGGAATATCGTGGCAAATATCTTCAGCCGGCAAAGAATTTCACACTGGTTCTGTGCACTAATCGACTCGCTGGAGAAAGCCAATAACAAAATCTCTTATATCAATGCCCTGAAGATTGAAATAAAAAAAATGTGAGAAAAGTTGCCCAAAGACTTCATCGTTAAATCTTGTGCAACTTTCTGACATTGTTTTCAGACTGTAATTGACAAGAATGGAAACCACAAATCGAATGATGTATTCGTTTTGATATTATCTATGAGTTTTATTGATATATTTTCGCATTAATCGGTCTATTTATGCATTATAAGCGACTTTCAAAGTTCACAGGAATTTTGCAAGTTGTATGAAAAGAACAATATAGATTTTAATGATCTCAAAAATTCTGGTCTCTTTTTATCGGCATACATTGTCAATATTAAAAATATATTTATTTTATCTACATTTGCACTAATCTGACACATTTCTGGACAGACACACACACACAACACACACACATATATATGAAAGAAAAATACAGAAAAAAAAACAAAATTCTGAATATGCATTATTAATGTTAAAATAAAGTCGACGTCGGACGTTTCGGTCTATTTAAGACCATCTTCATGGACATTTTCATTTAAACATAATTAACATTAAAACATAACAATTTAACACAAAAGACGATGGACATAAGAGCCCAACTAATTCAGACAGATAACTGAAATTTTATACAGATCAGCGTTCTGTTTAAATATGATCACGTAGTCGTCTCGTGGGCGATGTTGTTAAGACGTATTCGAAGATGATTTCCAAAAATTAAAATATCAAAAAGTCGAATGAAAAATTTTTATAAACAATTAAAGAAATCTCTTCCGTTGATGTTGGAATACGTAGTGATCAAATTGGTTCTTATATCTTCAACAAGCTTGAAAATCTTTCCCGTTACAATGCAAATGATTTTAAAAAAGTGATTTTAAAAAGTTATCTGTGGAAAGTTGGGCTCTTATGTCCATCGTCTTTGTGTTAAATTGAAGTTTTAATGTTAATTATGTTTAAAATGAAAATGTCCATGAAGATGGTCTTAAATAGACCGAAACGTCCGACGTCGACTTTATTTTTAACATTAATAATGCATATTCAGAATTTTGTTTTTTCTGTATTTTCCATATATTCGGATTTATATCCATATACACACACACACACACACACATATATATATATATATATATATATATATATATATATATGTATGTATGTATGTATGTATGTATGTATGTATAGATATATACGTGTAAATATATTTCTAACTTCTGAAATATATTTTTCTTTATTACTGGCTGGCTGACTGACAGGTTGTTTTATTTGTCAGCTGAAAATATTCTGGAGCCATAAACTCATTAGGTTTATCCGGTAATTACTGCTTTATTTAATTATTTCATTAATCATCTCCCTTTGCCGTCTAATGACTGCAGGATATCATTGAACAGTTTCCTAACACTTCAGTTTGATTGAGAATAGCGCCCTCTAGTGATCAACACATTATTATCAATATTATCAAGACCAGTTTCCTTTCATGTTGAAAATGAATGCAGAACGCTTCCGATCCCAGATGCATTTCATCTGTTCTTCGATTATCTCCATTTTCGTGTTCGCCATTTTGATTTTGGCAGTAAAATATTCTCTGTATTATGAGTTTTTGCATTTACATGAGTGTCCTATTTATTTTTACGTTTGAACCAGCAGCTCAAATTACCGCTTTCGAACAGTCAATGAATCGGATATTAGATTAATTGATTAAATTTATTGATTGATTGATTCGCTTTCTACGATTTATCAACTTCTTGTATGTTATTTAAAGACAGAAAATATCTTTAGACTGCAAGAATTTTTTGAGATAATAAAGATTTAGTGATATGAGTCCAACTAATTCACCCAGACCTTGGTGAGAAGAGGGTTCATACCTTTCCCAAGATTATTTGCGTGGAAGGAAATATAACGAACTTAAATGAAATTGGAACTCGTCTCGTCGATTAACAATTTCGGGCCACTATCAATTACACCACCCACACGTCCAAACTTACAGCACCTGGGATTCCCAAGCGATCACCCACTCTATGTTCTGACTAGGCTCGACGTTGTTTGACTTCAATGATCGTACGGGAACCAATGTTTCGACGTGATGTGGCCGTTGATTAAAGAAAGCGAACTTAGATGAGAATTGAAATTATCAAATTCTGTTTAACTAAATGTGATGTAATCCGTGTATTCTAGAGAAATAAAAACTGCAAGTTTTTAATTTTATTCTCAAAATAAAGAAATACACTAAATAAAACTTTGTGATAAAAACCAAGAAAAAAATAAGAGAGAATAATCGATGGACATTTTGGATTTATAATGACGAAAATAACACTCTTTATGAAATTGAATGTTTTGGGTTTTTTTTCTTGGATTTTCTGCTTTTTGGTGAAGCTTTTTGAAACACCCCAAAAAGACACCAAGATGAGATTTGATCAATTCTTATCAATCTCAAGTTTTCGGTATTTATCTACTAATCAGCGGTAAAGTTGGACCCACGAAAATGTTTTTCAGCTTTGGAATGAAGAAACAAATGATCTTAAAATGGGAAAAGAATTTTATAATACAAAATATTTAAATAACAGATTCATATAATGAAGTACATTTTAAAATATTACTTATATTGAAAAATTTGGAGCGTATATGCCGGCATAATTCATTATATTACATTTCATACTGAATATAAGGTAAAAGGCCGCATAACGCCAATCACGAAGACGATTAGCGGCAATTTATGAAACCTAGATTTGAACTGGCTTATATGCAGGCGATGCTAATATCACAAGTACGAAATTAGTTCCTTGTGAAGTTCTCTCCGAATTGCATCTTCTATCGAAACATTACTCTGAATATCTAACATGTTTGCAGTTAAAACCTAAATCGGTCGAGAAAAGAAATGAGTGCCTATTCTTTTTACATCAAATATTTCTTTCAACTTTTTGTCAGTTTCTTTTTGGTTTCTAAAGTGGAGTCAACGTTAAAGCTGTCACTTCTCATAACAATTTATGAAAAAACACTTGGACCAACGCCAAACAAAGCTCGTGTGACTGATAAGTACTCCCTTGAAAGCCACTATTGTTGGTTTAAAGATCACGATAAATGGAAACTATTTTAAATACCTTATTTTCTAATGTTGACGTTTGTAACTGAGCTTTCGATTTAAAATGTAAAAAAAAAACTTGGGTGTTGCTTGGGTGAGTCTCTTATGGGAAAACATTGGTATATGCAAATCAATAAGTCTTATTTAGGTTCGAGTTTATTTATTATTTTTTAATAAACGGTTGCTCAACACTTCTGGACAAATTATGTTCACAGTTTTACGTTATTTAAGTTGACTCTCCTTCGGAATATATATGTGTAGCTATTAATTAACAGTGATTTTATGACATCAAAAATGAAGTCAATTTCTGCTCAAATATTCTAGTGTTTAATTTTGCTCATGGAACAAAAGACATGTCAATATTATAATGGACTACATTAAATAATCCGTTCACTACCATAGATTTGCTTGTTAGTTACCTGGTTTGAACCAGTTGCAAATGTCCTCTCAGGGCTGATGCACTATACATATCTATTCATCAGTGGAGGAAATATCATGACTGAGTGTCGAGGAGCAGTTTTGAGAGTCAATGATGCGAGAGCCAAAACAACGTGTTGTCGTACTTGGGAATACCCTTAATCGGAGACCGTTTCACAGCGAACTGAGCCCAACCTACAAAATTATGTGACTGATTTTATCAAAATCTGTAACCATATCGGGTACATTTGGCTGTGATGCATATATCTAGTGATATCAGACTGGGTGTTATGATGGCTATAATGGGCGTCGTATATTTAAACCCGTGTCACATTGTGGCGTGATGCGCTCTCACTTAATAATAATAATAATAGTAAACATAACAGTAGAATATATCTTTATATTTATAACTTTTTATTAGGCATGTGTAAAAGTCCACAACAAACTCTTTTTGAAAAATAAAGACTGAATACAGAGTAGAAAACCGCTAGTCTAGACTGGTTGTTTTTTTTTTTTTTTTTGTTTTTTTGTAATTGGGGAAAAGATATTCAGGATGAAAGAGAAAAATAAATTAAAATATTAACCATTTTTGTATAAAATAATTATACTCTAAATTAATTTTAAAATAATTTCTAGTTAAAATCTTTAATTTTTTTGCAAAATAAAATTAAGATTAATCACAAGTATTATTATTTTATGTAGAAATTAGTAATGCTTTAATTTTATTTCCTCTTTCAATTTCTTTTCAGCATTTAAAATAATACTTACATATACAAAAATTAGATCATTACTATCACGTTAAATGTAGGGTGTGAAGAATCCACATTATAATTATTAAGTTGAAAATTGGACTCGAAATTACATTATTTTTCAATTTAAAGCATTGTATTTCATTGTGTTACACTAACAGAATTCTCGTTACGATGTGCTGTTTTTGTTGCGTTATGGTAATTAAACACCCCAAACCAAAATTCGGATTGATATAAGTAATATAATATAGATTTATAAATTCCGTTCTCTTTCAGGCGCGTGTGTGTATATAATTTCATGGTTTGCTGCTGCCTCGACACGTAAATTAGTTTGGGGAGAGTGATTCGTTCTATTTTTCATCCATGGATTCATTTCTTTACCAAAATATTTGTAATAAATCAATCAATCAATCAATCTCTCTCTCAATCTCTCTCTCTCTCTCTCTCAATCTCTCTCTCTCTCTCAATCTCTCTCTCTCTCTCAATCTCTCTCTCTCTCTCTCAATCTCTCTCTCTCTCTCTCAATATACACTCGAGAAGGTCTGAAAAATTTTCATCTCTACCCACTTCTCAAAATCTGACCAATCATTCGAATCGGGAGGTCGGGAAAGTTTAATTCTTGGTAAAATTGAAAATGTTCAACATACTCTCGAACTGAAATATTTATGAGATTTTTTCAAGAGCTGTTTTAAAATTATATACGTAAGTATATTTAAGTAGATACACAGATATTTGAAGCCTGTTTTTTGTTTCTTCACCTAAGTACAAATAAAGAGAGAGACATGATAAAAATAGCGATATCTATTTCAAAAGCAAAATCTTTATTTAATGATGTAAACAATTCAAGAATATTTTATGGTGCAAACAAACTGTGCTGAACTTGCTATTCTATTTATGTCCATCATGTCTCTTTATATGCGAGTCGGTTGTAGAAGACCGCATCTATATATGAACATGTAGGTGTCTATTGGTGTCAAATCAATGGTGAAATGTATATGGACATATAGGTGTCTATATATATATATATATATATATATATATATATATATATATATATATATATATATAAGGTGTCTATTGCTGCGAATCTTACCATCAGGGAACGCAGGGAACTAGAAAATACTAGTGTTTTTAACTTATTCATGTCTGGAGGGTGTCAAGTTTTAAAACGTTAGAAACCAAATAAGGTCTAAAAGGTTCTTCGTCTATATAATGGTCAAAACAAGAGGAATACCTGGAGTCAGTTTTGTATTCGTGCAACAAATTTAACGTCACTTGCGTACAAGGAAGGGTTTTGTTATATTTTTTTTAAATAAACTGTCAGCAGCAAAAAGGAAGGCAATCATAAGCGGATAAATCTAATGTTCTGTGCTTGTCACACGTGTCAGGCGAGACTCCAGTTTCACAAATGGTCCTAGCATACTTATACAAAACACACCTCGGACTATTACAGAACCACAACTAAATGATGCAACACTATACTGACCAGATGAATCCATAGTATTTTGCGATAGATGAACTGGACTGTAAACATGATTCGTCTTCGGATGAGGCTATATATATATATATATATATATATATATATATATATATACACACCAAATACGTAAATTTACAGAGAAGATTTAGATCCGAATAGTTGAACATCTCGTTGTTCACGAAATAAATTTATAATCGAAATGGATAATTAAAGTCTGTGTCTTCTTATTATCATTATAATGGTCTGTCTACATTAAGGTCTCCCTGGATTTATATCCTCCTCGGAATTATTCCTTCCAGTCACAAACTGATAAGATGTATATATATATATATATATATATATATATATATATATATATATATATATATATATATATATATATATACCTGTACATTTAATGAAAACATAACAGAAAGATATTAAAAGATGTTGCCGTTTTATTTTCCGTCAGTATACACACATGTACACGCACACGCAGTATACACACCTAAACACACACACACACACACACACACACACATATATATATATATATATATAAAGAGTGGGAGATAGTGATATTAGCATAGTGAAAACAAAAACTTTTTTCTCAACTAAATTCGTTCAATTAAGAAAAATACGTCGAAACGTATTTTCTGATAATAAAGAAAAGACAGAGAAAGAGTGAAAGTGTGAGAGAGAGTAAGAGTAAATAGACTGAGAAAGAGAGAGAGAGAGAGAGAAAGAGAGAGAGAGAGAGAGAGAGAGAAGGATTTTATCAAAATTAAGTGCATGAGTAATAGGTTTTTGCTTTTAGTGTCAGCGAATAGACAGGGAAAATGTTTTGGTCAAATGATTTCTCACCCATCCTACATACTTCTGCGTTAACCACCTTATTACAATATATTTCATCAATATATATATATATATATATATATATATATATATATATATATATCGATAAGATATAATACAGGGATAAGTGGGTTCATACCTTTTCAAACGGTGCAAATGCAAATGAATTCGATTTCGTTTTCTATACCGATGCCACTATTTGTGTGTGTGTATGTGTTTTGTGTGTGCCTGTGTGTATGTGTGTGTGTGTGTGCGTGTGAGTGCGTGGTTTATGGGCATCGAGAATGTTGTCTGTGCTAATTCCAATTTCTTCTCTAGACCCGTCAGCATCTTGTCTGCATGGTCGTATGGAAGCAATTACTTACCAAAGCTTTAGTGTTGCAGGTGGGGCATAAATTGAGTTTTTCTATTAGATTCACGTATACCTTGAGCAAGAATTAAACGATTTATCTCCATTTTGACGGTCGGTCATTACAAATTCCCTAACCACTATCATCAGCAGGATGATGTGAGGTAAATGGAAGAGCCGGCAGT